CCTCCTGCGCCATCATCCTGGACGGCCCAAAACGTTGTCATAAGGTTTCTCTCCTAAATATTCCCCCCTACCCCAAGAGAGGTTCCTCAATGCTAGTGTAGGTTTCTTGATCCAAGGAATTCAACTTTCTCCCCTTCCTTGGATTGAGTCTGATAGTCTTCCATTTCCAAAACACTATATAAACCCTATAGTGCTTCCCTTTAAATAAAATAATTTTCTACTCAGTATGGGTTTTTGGTGAAATGTCTAATTTTGTAAACACCGACTTGTTAACTTACTGTACAAGTCATGGGATAATTCGAAAACTTTTACCAACACCAAAATTAGCCACTACCCATTGCTACTGATACCCCGGCACTAGTATATGGAGGTGTCTTGATGCCAGTGAGGAGAGCTCATGATCCAAGGCATCCTCTTGGATTGCACTCTGTTGCCTCCCAGTCTAAGCACACTATACAAGTCCTGTATAATGCCCCACCATCCCCCTACAATAAATATAACAGTGATATATGAATAGTGTCAACCTAAAATAAGGAAAACAGTAAAATAATTACCATATATATTTTCAGTTTACGATGATTGGGTAAATTTGAATGACACTGGAGTTGATTGCAGGAATTGTGGAGGCAACCGTAAACATCCTATATTAGCTAAGGCACAACCCAGCCACAAACAGGAATGAATTTTAAAGAAGTGCTTGTAATCTTACATTCTCCAGTCTCGAAAAAGAACACCCTGGAAGATTATAAACCCCATAGGGTTGGTCTTTCAAAGGATAGGGAGATCTAGTTGTGGGAAAGTTGATAAATTTTTTATTGCTCTCAGAAGAGCAAGACGACTCGCATTGTCTCCTATATCTTTTGTCTGTCAGTTCGTTCCCCTCAAGGGAGGTTCCTTGATACTGGTGAGGGGCTCTTGATCTAGGGATGGATCTGTGCTCTGGCTCCCTGAATTGAGCCTGTGATTATAATGTCAGTTTGTCAGATATTGATAATTCATTTAGCAAGAATAGTTAATATCTATCAACACTAAATGCCACTGGGAGGTTTGATGTATGTGAAATCCCTTACCCCTTCATGGATTACTACACTTGCTTCATGCCATTGGCCTGTCAGTGAACACCCCCCCCCCCTAAGGCAAACGTCTGCAGAGGATTTTAAGCAACTGTTAACATAAGTTAGTTGGGTTAAGATCAACAAGATTAAGGTCTAAGTAAAATCTGCCAATTTATAAACATACTGCAAATAAATGCAATGCATAAAAGTGGCAAACTCTTGATGCGTTAAGAAACCCAAGTGCGTATTAAGTTTTTTTTTTTTTTTTTACAGTAATCACGTTTTCACTAGTGTCACGCATTTGACATTTATAGTGGTTTTGTTCTTACACCTGTCCTATGAAGTCAGAGGTAGCCATATTGACTTCCATCTTCGTCCATCTAATGCCTCCGTTTGCACAGTGTCTACATTTTCTTGTTTTGGCTGTGACAAACTGCAGCTATCATTATTATAATTAAGGGGTAAGTACTAAACCCATAGGAAACTGTCAGTACTAGTCAAGGAGCACAAATATGGGTAGAGCAGTGTCAACAACAGCTTCGTATTACATAGAAATAGCTATCATATCTAATGGATTGGAATAATTTGAGGCTAATCCTACAAGTCAAACAGGTGAAGGTGTTTCGATGCTGCCACCATCCAGATCTCAGACGTCATAGACCAGAATCACGGGGGCCTGCATCATTCTACAACATCGTGGTGGTGAATGTAGAATTGGTAGTAGCAGTAGTAAAGGTAGCAGCAGATGGTAGTCTTGAAACAATTTGCAGCAGTATAGTAGTAATAAAGAAAGGAGCACTGCAGATCTACTGGCCCATGCCAGACAAGACTAATGAAAGAATAAGAATGAATTACATTTCACGGTGGTGGAACTTCGGTACACAACTCTGAGAAGGCGGAGAATTATTGCAACAAGCAGGAAAGAGGGAAGGCAGAGAAAATGGAGAAGATAGGAGAGGCGGCAGCAAAGGTCAGGTTAAGTCACGAGTGTTGAAGATTAGAGCACTTGACAATGCATCAGAAAAGGCAGGCATCTACAGAAGCAAAGCCAGGATTAAGATTTGTTATGAAAGTTGTGTATATAAGAGCCAATTCAACAAGGCAGCATTCTTGAAGGTTAGAAGGGACCAATTAAAGTCCATCAAAAGGGTAGTTGCCAATTTCACCAAAGTATTAGAAAATGGTGTTAAGCTTTTGAACATTGGAAATGTTGGAGGCAAAGAATGAGATCTCACAGAAGCAGGTTAATTTAGCACGAGAATAGGCAGTTTATGAAATTGGGAGGACAGCAAATGCAAGAGCTACAGAGAGTAGTTCAGTCAAGAAATGGTCAGAGATGCAGAGGGCATGAAGAGAAACACAAACACTTGTCATTACTGGAACATGCATCCCACTGTGCATTGATCCTCTCACAGCAGTAGGCATAAACATCAAGGAAAGGTTAGAGTTTAATTCCCATTCAGCTTTGATAGGAGCAAAATTGTTAGCCATCAACAAAATGTTGGAAGAGAATTAAGAGTAATGTGGCCAAAGAGCCAAGACATCACACATACAGAGAAGCCAGAGGATAACATACCTCAGTAGTGGGAATTAGAAGTTTTGAAATACTCCATGCAAAGATGGGATAGAGGAAAGCCCACATCACCATCAAAAATTCCCCTCGATATTGGCGAGGGGCTCCATCTAGGGAATTGGATCTGTACTCCAGTTCCATGAAAAGCCTGAATACCTTACATTACCTCCCCCCCCCCCACAGCACTGTATAATCCTAAAGGTTCAACACTTCCCTGTGATTATAATAGTTATAACCAGTTTTGAGAGAGAAAAAAAAAAAGTAGGATTTTAACCCATGGTACTCGAGTGAGTCTTAGAACTCCAGGCCAATGTGTAAGCCACATGGGACATCGGGCTACAAGAAGATTCATCCAACTAGGTATATTTCTGTACACCATAAGGAGGTTAGCATTAATCCCACTGACCACAAATGCAAGTTTTTAGTGGTGAACTCTAGCTCAAGTCCCAGATGAGCCACAGGTAAGTTAGGAAGTATTTGCTCAGTCTCAATAATTGGGAAGTGAAATGATCTTGGCAAGGAAGTCCCATGCCTAGTTTTGAGAGCAGATACAATATAGTCCACGAGGCTAAGAGGGAATGAATCTGAAGAGTGGCAAAGCCAGGATCCGAGAATAGACCCCAGTAACCTCAAACGAGTACTTCCATTTTTTATTAGTGCACACTGATGGTGTTGACTATACAGTTAAGTTTTCCTGACTATCATCCAAGGTCATTTCTTAAACTTCGCCACTGTTCCCAGTCGAGTTACATTCAACTCTTGCACATTACGTTATCTACCATGTTGATGTCTACGGTGCATTACAGGTCATTGAGAAAGTCTCTCTCCATTCTTGCATTCAACGTTGGTTATGCCACATTTCTAGTACACAACGCAAATACCTGGAGGGGGTTTTAGGGGTCAGTGCCCTCCCCCAGCACAGTCCGTGACTAGACCTGAAGGTGTCATTGTTTGTTGGGTCCTTGGACACTGAGGTAGGTAACTAGCAGACTTAGCTGTTCATGACCTCCCAGTTTCCCACAGGGCATTACTCAGGATTATTTTTCAGCAATCTCTTGACAACTCCAAAACTAATAGTAACTTAGGTCATATTTGATCCACAGTAAATTAAATTTTTTTTGTCAAACCAGTTATGTTTATGTCTGTCTTCCCACCCACTATGTTTGGAAGTCTGCACTCTTCTATGGCCATGTGCCTCACTAAAATGCCCAGCACGGATATGCAAGTACTTTTGGGTTGTGCTGTTGGTCCAACATTTATTTGATTGTACCCACACTGATAGGCTGGACAATTTTGCTTCTGTCAATACTACTCTGACCACCTTGCTGAAATTTCCAAATGACAACCCTGACTTTTTAACTAACTTACTGCACTAACTCTTGATTTTACTTATCTTGCACCTCTACCCCCACTAACCCCTGCCCTTGATTTCCCTCACCACCTTTACACAATTCTTTCCCACACCTTTCCTCCCTGCAGTGCTCTATGACCCTTTTCAGGTTTAGCACTTGGTTATGTCAACAAACCTTACCATCTGGAACAGGAAGCACACTAACCTGGAAGTTGCCTTATTCTACCCACTGATAAGGCCATCACACTACAATACTAAACAAGGCTATTATCACATTGGACAAAGTATTACTCCCTTCCCATGACGAGTTCACATCTCGGTGCAGCATAAAGCACCTCAAAGTCAGCATTCAGCCAAAATGCATCTTAAGAATATTAGGAACTTGAACATCCGAGAAGTTTGTGCATACATTTAAGCAATTTTGATTTGACATGCTGTTGGGGTAAACATGGCAACATTTATGAAGGTATTCCAGGAAACTAGTTAACTGGACTAGAGGCCTGGAGGTGAAGTGCCTGCACTCTGTATCGATTAGGATGCTGCAGTTCAAATGGTCATCTGAACTGTTGCATCAGCACATTCTTGCAAAGCAGGGATTGAATGAATGAGGGTGAAAGGATTTCCTTATTGGGCTCTTTACCCTAGTAAGAGATGGCTGTGAAAAAAAAAATATGCAGAGAAAACCAAGAGTAATATATTGTATACCAGAAATCTAAATTATGTAACTAAAAACAGGAGGATCTGAAAATCCTGGACATTAACTACTCCAAAGCCTATCTATATAACCATGTCAAATGAAAGGGAAGTGGAAGAGGAAATCAACAAGGAAAAACTATAGATTATGAGCTTTTTAACATCAAGAATCAAAGAACCACCTATAAAAGGCCAAGTATTAAATAATATAATTAAATCCTACACCCAAGAGGTTCATACTTTTGGCATTTCAAATGAAGAAATTGATTTGTGCTAGTCTGAAAATTAGTGTTAGCCTATGTCATTTAACCCCTAAAATTAAACACACTTTGTAAATATTAAATTTATTTTCAGAGGCGATATGGTTTACAATATTAATTTATAGCACTTCATCTTAAATATAACCCCAGTTTTCCTTTTGCTTATAATAACGCATTAACGACATGAGAAGTTGAACTTTGTCCTATGCCCAGCACACTATTTAGCACATTCATGTCATTTGTAACTGGAGTAAACCAATACCCTACCACAATGATCCATTTTGGGAATTTTCTTGTCTGTTATAAAGCCCAGCAGCAGCAAAAAAATATAAATAAAAAAAAAAAAAAAAAAAAAAAAGACAGCATGGAGCAAGAGCATCAGTTAGGGATGGGTAAAGGTAACATCAGCATTCAGTATAAGTACCATATAACAAGTCAAAAGGTCAGGGGCACAGGCGAGAGTTCAACTATCTCTGCATAACTAGCGGAGTAGCAAGCGCTTGATGGGACACACAGCGACTCGCCGTGGGTTGCAAACGTCACATTTTGCATATTAAATTCAACGATATGTCAACATCCCTGGGTAGCAGGAGAGTTCTCGGGAGTTGACAGCAGCCAGCAAGCATATCCTCCAGCCTTAGGCACATGCTCGGGTCTGTACACGACTTAAATATTTATATAAATATACAAAACAAATCACAGAATTTGAGCCATAATTTACAAAACTTATGAGGAGCCAAGCTGTAAACAAGTAACTGAGCTTTCAAGTATCTAAATGCATGTATCCTCTATACAGTTACTCAATATCCTGGAAGTGAAGGGAATGCAGTTTTCATTTCAACTATGCTATAACACAATAACAATATGCAACTGATGCTCAATCTAGCAAGAATTACAAAACCATCTGCACTTTTAACATTTTTTTAACTGTTCATGTGCACTTTTTACACTATATATAAAAAACCACAGTAGGCAGTATACAAGTCCGCTCATGCATAAGCTTGCCGAGTCCAACCTGTGGTGAAACTCTCGTTATGAGACCAAGACAACAGGAAGACTACCAGATGCAGCTTAATGCACTCCAACGCTAATGGCTTGAAAGTCTTTTCAATATCTGCCATTTGTGCCAGGCTCAAGACACAAGTCACTGTAGTAAAAATTCTGGCTCCTATTTCAACTTCAGTTTTCTACAATATATTGAGTCCATCAGTAACGAAAAAAAAAAAAAACTCATCTCTGTATCAACACTTAAAGGAAGAATTGAAGAGGTAGGAGGGTCAAGCCCTTAGGCATGAGTTTCAGTTTCTTCTACATCTGCCTCCTTTAACCATCGCATGAAGTTTTTGACCGAGTTAACACACACACCCTTTCCCTCCTGTTCTTCAGGATCCTGAAATTTGGCCCACAGCTCGAAGGCTTCTTCAGACACCACTTCTGAATCGTAAAAAGCATTGAAGCACTTTTCTAGCAGACCTGTAAAGAGAATTTTGTCATAAAAGTACTTAAGTAGAGCAGTATATCAAAAAAATAAAATTTATAAACTTATCCAGAAACTTTTTTGTTCTTGTTTATTTCCTATCTCAATGGGGAAGTGGAACACAATTCTTCCTCTGTAAGCCATTTGTCGTAACAGGTAACTAACATGCTGGGAGCAAGGGGCTGGTAAACCCCCTTCTCCTGTATACATTACTTAAGTTAAAAAGAGAAGTTTGTTTTTCTTTTTGGGCCACCCTACTTTGGTAGGATATGGCCAGTTTGTTGAAAAAGTTAGTGCAGTCTAAGCCATTTAAAAATCTAATAGGACTACCTATAATTTTTTAAATCTCTATACCACATACTTTACCTTTAGGATGCTGATGTTTAACACTAAGAGCTTGGAGGGCATAGATGCACTGCATCTCCAATTTTTCATTGCTATCAACATACTTGAGCACCACAGCTAGACGGTTCTTCATTTTTTCCTCAAAATCTTCAGAAACACAAATTGAGGAACCATCATTGGAAGCTGTAAATAATGATGGCAGCTTAGTATGCAATTTAAAAGAAACTTGGTTAACTCTTTATCAACAAAGTACATTTCCCTCCCCCACCTCCCCTACTTTTTCATCTTCACATTATCCTTCTCTTAACCCATTTACTTATGTGGTGCATCTAAAATACCACTACCTATTCAATTGCTAATTTTTTTTTTAAAGCTTACACAGTGTATATTTCTTTTTTAACAAGTTTGAGAGTTACTAATTTTTCTAACATCTTTTTTTGTACCATATAAACCAGGTTCTTTATTCACTATACAATTAAACAGAAATGAATAAACTAAACAGCTCAATCTTTAATGTTTTTAAGCTAGTTTATTGTAGAGATAATAGTAATATAGAAAAAAAGATTCCCAAATGGACATCCTTAAAAAAAAAAAAAAAAAAAAAAAACTGTACTGTTAAAACCAGAAATAGCACAAAGCAGTGAGGAGTTTCGAAGCCACCCTGCCAGTGACTGGCTTTCTACTACAACTTTTGAGTGTAGTGTTCACTACTCTGCGGAAATTGGGGAGAGGAGGGGGTGTTTGACCCTCAAGATGTTTGGAATGCAATAATCCCCCCCCTTTAAATTTTTTTTTAACTCATCAGCCATCTCACACCAAGGCAGGTAGGAGAAGACTTTCATCATCATTTAACACTTTCACCATCACACACATAATCACTGTCGCTGCAGAGGTGCTCAGATACGACAGCTCAGATGTCCTTCCAAACTGCCAATATCCCAAACCCCTCCTGAAAGTGCAAGCATTGTACTTCCCATTTCCAGGACTGAAGTCTGGTTAACTGGTTTCCCTGAATCCCTTTACATTTTGTATAGTGTATTAATGTAATTCATGGTGTAGCTCACATATTGTCAGAACACTGTATGCTATAGGTAGCAAACTGACAAGTGAGAATATCAGGCATTTATACCAGGGTGCTGGATTCTTAAATCAAGCAATCAAATGTTAGGGAGTGGCCCACCTTCCTTGTGCACTAAATGCTCAAACCCCACCACTGCTTTAAGATAACCCATCATTAGAGAAAGGGAGAAAAGGGGAAAGGAAAAGAAAGGAGAATGAACAAGGATACTGATAAAGATACAGCCTACTGGAACTGTTTTCTACATTAAACAGCATCACTGGGGAAACTAAAACTAAGCTAATGAATATCTAAAATTTTCTTCAACTTACTCGTAGCTTGACTCTCCACTAAGGCGGTTACCAAGGCACGTATAAATTTGCTGCTCTTGGCATCATTACCGATATTTGCCTGTTGAAGAAAATGGTAATTTTTACATTCTATAATATCTAAACAAATGGAAGTTTGTTACTTAAACCTCCAACTGGACTAATAATGGCAATGGTTAACTTAACCTTTGTGTACCTGGAATAAAAGCACTGGATTAAGTGTAAAAACATTGTTTAGAACTCCATGAACTTTTACTACCTGCTTTATGAGCATTCCCTGAAACATGTTATGAAGGAAACTATCAAAAATATTTAAGAATGGCAACACATGGCCATTCAATTAAAGTTAGGATTGTTTTAGAATTTACAATACTCATTGACACAACTGAAACTCACATCAATATCTATTTAAAATTTTTGTCCAAGATCAGGATTCATAGGAAAGTGACTACTCTCACATTGTAAAACAACCAACCACAATAGTCCTCCTCAGCCCAGTGGAAGCACAGCTACCCTCTCCATACCAGTGACCAAATTAAAAAAAAATTTTTTTTTTAAGTAAACTTTTTAGGTACTTGTACTTTTCTTTTTCAATGTCTAAATGCAGGTATTTTACATAGCCCCAACTACAATGTCATGAAAGAATAATTTTTCTGAGGAATTAAAAATAATTTTAAATTTTTTCCTCAAGTGTCAAGAACGTAACTATTTTTTCCCATCACAAGTTGTGATACCATAAGAAGTGCCATTTCTCGGAATGTAACCTGCATCAAATGATTTTTATCTGACAAATTAAGAAAAGTTTATCTAAAGAAAGAAATTAAATATTAATAAATGTGGCTCAATAGCAGATTTCTGATATTATTCTTAAATTTCAAGAGAAGGTATTACTTACTTTTTTTTTTTTTTTTTTTTTTTTACAAACTTAATGGCATCAGCTTTCACTGTCATTGCAACACACTTTGCACTTATGGGCAAAAATATATCTTCCATCATGCAATTTTACATAACGCTATTTTTTTTTTTAACTCTAAAAAGACTAATATTAGCTGGCATTATAATGTCTTTCCCCAAGCACATTCCTTAACCCTTTCATCATTGGTTCCGTTGTATCATGACTTCGAAACCAGTGTTGGTTCCATAGCATGATGCCACGAGTTCAGCTCACTTGGATAGGCTGTGAGCAGTACATTTGGGCCTCGATACATGAGAATGGGTCTATGCAGCAAGTGTCCACCATATTAAAAAAAAAAAAAAAACTGCATGCAGTTTGACAGAATGAAAGATATATTATTGAAACAGATGATTTTGATTTGTTTCAGTACCAAATGTAGCTCGAAACTGAGTGGAAACGTTAGATTTTTGCCAATATTCCAGAGTATACAAATGACGTCACTTGCCCAGTACACATCCAACTGGCCAGTCTAACATGCATTTACGAATGCACTGACTATTTACACAATTATTACAATAATGCAGTAGTTGGCATAACAGGAAACTTTTTTTTTTTTTTGTGAATAAAATTTCAGAATGAAAAGGAAGAGTAATATAAGGGCCTGGAGACTTGACTAAGGAACAGAGGAAATGTTTTTTTTTTAGTGCCAGGAATGTCTACATTGTTTATTCTGGACCCTATTTACAAATTACCAATTGCTGAATTTTGTATGAAATTGGCCAAATTACCAATTTCTGATTACTTCATCAAGTAGTTTAAATAGGTAAATGGGCAGTTTCTTGTACTCAATAGAGTAGAAGGAATACTAGCAAAATAGCTAGTTCAGTGGAATGGAACAATGGAATTGGCCAAAAGTAGAGCGCATTGGGCAAAATCGGCGATGCATAAATATTGCCGAGACTACTAACTTTGCGAGATTGTAATTCTTTAAGTTTTCCACCAAATTTCGTAGTTTTGGTTTCATTACCTCCTGTATAGCCCTTGTGGTTTAGCACTTCTTTTTTATTATAATAATAATGGTTTCATTACCTTCAGAAAAAGATTATCATTTCACATTTTTTTTTTTAAATTGACACCGAGCAATTTGAAAGCAGGGGTCTCGACAGCGAAAGGGTTACGGCAGACACCCGTGTTCTGGTAAATAGCTTCTCCCTATGCCTTTGTCCAGGCAGAAGCCTCACATAACCTCCCTGAAAGCTGCCTAACTTTCCTAAAACTCTAGCCCATCTTTCTAAGGGGCTGACAGACGAATCTTTCACCTTTATTCAGTCCTAACCTTATCTAAACTACTACAGTAACCAACTATATTCTTCTGCTTACTTCATTGCTCACTATTCTTCATCTCATTTCTCAATCATTATGTTTGTGTCTTGGGGCTTTTCAGTCTTCCCCAGTCAGGAGTCTATAAACTGAAACATACTTCCTAGGATTCCAAGATCAATACAATGCTCATATCTAGTAAGTACAAAAATCTTTGTACTGGGTCCCTGGACATACTGAAGTAAGAGGCAATGAACAAGCAGACAACTGCTTGACCAGTTTTTCAAAACATCCTGATTACCCATGGGGTATTCCTTACTCAGGCAATTTTTTTCAGTGCTCTTCCCACCTCCACAACTGTTGGCAACATTGGTCAATGTTGAACTACAAATAATTTTTCATGAAACCACACCATCTTCCAGCATTTGTTGAGTTTAGGAGACCACACTAACACTCACATGTTGGACATGCAACTCACTCATGGATACCACATTGAAAAAAGACTGGCACTACTCTGCAAGTACTGTCATGTTGCACCTACCTGTTCAATATATCTTAACAGATTGTCCTATCAGAGTAAATGCAGGATCCACTTTTCTCTAAACTGCCCCAACACACAATCCCTGACTTTGCTGAAAGTTCCACCTCTGACAGAGACTAACTTTGAAAGTTAACCTATTGCACCAACTGTGATTTAAATTTTAATCTTTTATTAATTCCCAAACTCAATGAACCCCCTGATTTTGCAAAGCCCCACCACTCACTCGCTCAACTTTCATACATTCAAACTTTTGTTTATATCTCCCTGTAGCAATGCATAAGCTTTACAGGTTTATGCACAAATTCACGATAATAAAATCATAGAATGGGTAAGGCTCGACCCCACAGTAGGCTAGTCCTTAAACTCAGGCCAGTGTGCTAACCACTGGACAAACTGGCTTTAATTGGGTTCATCCAACTCTGTCCATGTCTATACACCCTGGGGAGGTTAGCATGAGTCATTTGACTATAAATGCAGGTATTTTCCAGATGCATCCCACATCAGCATGGCTATGACCTTCTGTAGCTCAAGTCCCTTCAAATCTGTCACGAATCACAAAATCACAATAAAACTACTGCAAACAAATCACAGAATGGGTGGGGCAGGAGTCATAAAACTCAAGAGGCCAGTGTGCTAACCACTGGACCAACTAGCTGGCCTGCAAGTTTTAGGTCTCACCTGCCATGGGTTGAGCCAATCCTATTCCACGATATGTTAGCCATTGGGTTATTACGATTTAACTAGTCAGCAACCAAAATGCTTCTGAGACCAGAGTAGCAATTTCAAACCAATTTTAGGTCACTGATAATGAATATCATGGTTAAAATTGTTTGTTAGCTCTACTTTTCAATACATGTATGCGTCAGCTGACATGAAGATTTCAAAATTTCGTGACTGTCAACAGTAGTTCAATGTTTTCTTCGTAATGGAAGGCTATTTAGTGGCCTGCTGGTCTAGTGGCTAACGCGACGGGCTGGAGTTTTGAGACACACTGACCGCGGGTTCAATCCCGGCCGGGGTATGGTTTGTTTGCAATCGTGTCATGATGATTTTGTGAATCATTAATGGTCTGATGGAAGCACTTGGCATCAACTATGAACCCAGTCACTGGAGGCTGTTCACAGATTCATCAAAAAGTCTGAAAGGTGTCTTGCTGCATAACAGCAATAGTAAACTATCAGTTCCTGTGGGCTATGCACCACATATGAAAGAAACTTATGAGAATATAAAGCATATGTTCCAATGCATGAAATATGATAAACATCAATGGCAGCTGTGATGTGCTTGCAGGGCAGATACACCAAGTACTACTCCTTTCTATGTGAATGGGACAGCTCTGCAAGAGGTTCCCATTACATCAGGAGAGACTGGCCACCTTGTCAATCATTCTAGCCTGGGATGAAAAATGTTCAACATTCACCTCATTGAACTAAACAAAATTTTGCTACTACCACTACACACAAAACTGGGGCTCATGAAAACTTTGTAAAAGCTATGGACAAATCCAGTTAAGGATTCAAGTATTTAACATCAAAATTTCCCACACTGAACAACACTAAGATAAGAGAGGGAGTCTTCAATGGTCCTCAGATTCAAGAGCTTCTTAAAGATGGTGACTTTGAATCAGACCTTTGTGGGGAGAAGAAAGCTGCTTGGGAAGCATTTAAGTTAGTGGCGAAGGAATTTTTCGGAAACAGAAGGGAAGGCAGCTATTAAGAATTGGTGGAAAACCTCATAAAGGCTTACAAGAAAATGGGATGTAACATGTCACTTAAAATCCACTTTTTGAACTCATATTTGGACCTTTTCCAGCTAACTGTGAGGCAGTTAAAGACGAACATGGTGAAAAGTTTTACAAAGATATTTTAACCATGAAAAAAATGGTACCAGGGCAAATGGGGGGACAAAAATGCTTGCAGACTATTGCTGGACATTGGCAAGAGATGATTCTTCAGCCCACTACAAGTGTCAAGCAAAAACGCAGAGAGTAGGTACGGATTAGTTTAAAACATACCAACACATTGTACGTTATAATAATCAAGTATTACATGTCTCGTATCTTTAAACCTATAGCCAGTAAGCATTTTACAAGGTGATACTTGGATTCAGGACATGAAAATACAAAAAAATTAACTTCTCATTCAAGAAGCATACACCTTTTTAAAAATTGTTGACCAGTGTTATCTGAGTTATGATGACAGCTTTGAAGGTACTTGAGTTAGGGAATGTAATAGCCATGCATCTGTAAAATACCTGCATTTATGGTCATAGTGGGGTCCATACTAACCTCCTACAGTGTATAGAAATATACCAAATCGGATAAATCCTACAAGAGCCAGCTGGTCCAGGGCCTAGCACATTGACTTGCAAGTTTTAGGACTCGACTGCCAAGGGTTCGTGCCCCCACCTGTTTTGTAGATTTGTTTGCAATCCTGTTACTACAATTTCACTAGTACCTTTGAAGAATTTTGAGAGTTTCACAACTCTCGAAGCCTGGTAGTAATAATAATAATAAAAATAATGGGTTTACATGACCTGTCACAATCGGGTAATTTAACAGGTTTACCTTCGGTCAAAAAATATCAATTCACAGAATTTTCCATACCCTTTATTTTGCTCATTAGCCTTTGTAGGCTTTTACTTGAGAAATACTAAGAAAGAAAGAACTACTTTTTGATTATTTAAAATACAAGGCAAAGCAACACCTTGTAATTTTATGTTTTATTAAAAACAAAACAGAAAAGGTTTTAATGCTGTGGCTCTAATTTAAGCAATGCCCTATGGATTGACAGCATATGATTCAAGAAAAATAAAATTAAGCATATTATATACAAAAACTTGCAAGTATCATCAGGAATTGCATATTTTGCACCAGAAAATTTACATCAAGTAGCCTTACATCAATCCATCCGAAGATTTCATCATTAGATGCTCTCTTGAACAGCTTAAGGAACTCTGTCTCCACCTTTTGGGGATTCCAACCCATCTCCAGCATTTGTGGATTCCTTCCTGTCTCCACCTTTTGGGAATTCCATCCACTCTGACTGCCAGACTTACTACGGTCCACAGTAAATGCCACATGCTGGTAGAAAAAATTATATAATAAAGTGCATTCATACTTAAGTCACTTAATGGTGAGACTTTCATAGGGAAAGTCTGAAGAAATGTTGCAAGACTGGTGGATGAATTTGAGAGGATATGTAATATTGGTATGGTAGTAACATGTAATATTGTATGATAGGGTTATTATTGAAAGAATTAGAGGTACGAGATCAGGATTGCAGATGAACAAGGAGGCTTTAGAATGGGTAGATGTATATATCAAGTGTTTACATTAAAGAACACAAGTAAACAATATTTAGATAAAGGTAGGGACGTTTTCATTACATTTATGGATTTAGAAAAGGCATATGATAGGGTGCAAAGGAGAGCAATGTGGCAGATGTTGCAAGTGTATAGAAAGGGTGGTAAGCTACTAAATGCTGTAAGGAGTTTTTATGAGGATAGCGAGGCTCAGGTTAGGGTGTGTAGAAGAGAGGGAGACTACTTCCCGGTAAAAGTAGGCCTTAGACAGGGATGTGTAATGTCACCATGGTTGTTTAATATATTTATAGATGAGGTTGTAAAGGAAGTAAATGCTAGGGTGTTCGGGA